GTGACAACTACGATCTATGCCAGACTTGCTACGCACAGCCTGAGTTTGGACACCCGCCCCATAGATTCAGACGCATCGAGAAACAGATTAATAATGAGGAAGGGACCTTGTTCAGCAAGACTAAGCGCCATCCCATCGAACACATGCCAGGAGTTGCAGCCCACAGCGCCTCGTGCGATCTGTGCTTGAACAGGATCATAGGCGTGCGACACAAATGCCTCCAGTGTCCCGACTACGATCTATGCCAGACATGTTTGCCGTTGGCCCACGCCCACCACAAGGAGCACACGTTCATCCCGATCGCCTATCCTGGACAGGTTGAAGTCAATGTTGATCAGACCTCACACTTCAATGTCGTCTGCGACGGATGCAACAATGGTATATATGGCGTCCGATACAAGGTACGAACGATGTCATGGTTCCTTTGTCGCTTGTGCATCTCAACATGCTGCTATTTTTTTAGATAGCTGCTGACACATTTACCATCCTGAACCATTAACCATGACAGTGCGGAAACTGTGCCGACTATGATCTCTGCGGCAATTGCGAGGCTCTATCAGAACCTATTCATGACCCTAGCCATATTATGCTCAAGATCCGCAAACCCATCTCTTCACGCATGGCTGCTGCAACACCGCTCCTACCTAATATGTATCACAAGGGATGGGGCAGATCGATCTGTCATCATCCTCAGCAGACGGGCCAGACATGTCCTGTGGCATCTGGTGGCAAGTCTATCTACGACGCAGTCTCCAAGACCACATCGCAAGACAGCGTTTCGCAACAGTAAGTTATGGATTTTCTTGCATGTACAGGATATCTATGGTTGAGCACTAGATAACCGATATCTGCCTGTCCTCGTACCTTCTACACAGAGTGGAGACGTTGAATGCTGTTTTCATCAAGGACATCACCTATAAGGACGGTACTGTGGTCGAGCCTGGTATCTCTTTTGCCAAGATTTGGGAAATGACCAATTCTGGCCCTGCGGAGTGGCCTAAAGGAACCGTGTTGCAGTTTGCTGGTGGTGACAGAATGTTTGCGACCGAGGATGACAATGTTAACAGCCCTGAGGTCAAAGTCGGTGCTGTCAGCGTCTCTGAATATGTCTGTATTACTGCCAATCTCAAAGCGCCCCTTGCTGCCGGCCGCTACGTCTCGTGAGTGACAATGACATCAAAACGATGCTGATGTTGAGATTATAAACTACTCAACTAAGAACTATTTATCCACGATGCATTAGATACTGGCGCCTTGTGTCGCCCTCTGGCGAGCGGTTTGGTCACCGCGTTTGGTGCGAGTAAGTACTTTGCTGATCGAGATCATGTGTGAATGAAGGATATCCGATGTGGATGCTGACGGCTTCAATGTCTGTTTGCGTAGCATTTTGGTTGTGGATGCTCAGCAGAAGGGAACATCCGATTCCCAGGACATGAAGGAGGTGGAGAAACAGGTGGAAGGTGTGAGCGAGAGGAAGGGAGGTGAACTGGACACCCAAAACTCTGACGATGAGTTTGTGGTGGTGGACAACGAGGATATGTAGGATACTTTATAGCCACAGCGAAGTGTGGAGACACAACAAATATGCACTTATGACGCGTTTTTTTTGATTTTCATGTCCGTTGTCTGTCTGTGCTTTCTCCTTGCGCTTCCACACCTTTTCCACTCTTCTCCACCTTCCACTCTCTTGACCTTTACCACCGACACGCTTTCTTCACCATGGCAACTTATCATCAACACGATACGCATGCTGGAAACACTGCACCATCCCCCGCTGCGATGTTTGAGCCAGGCACCGGCGTCATCCAGCTGGATCCTTGGCTTGCGCCTTACAAAGCGCCTCTGTTGCATAGGTAACCATGCTTCCAGTCACTTTCCTCCACCATCGCAAGGGCTATAGCAACCTGTCTTTGTGCTGCTTCTGATATGTGGCTATGGGCATCCTGTCTGCAAAATAACAACAGATATGCAGCCTACAAAAAGTGGGAGGACATCATTGACCAGCAAGGCGGCTACGAAAACTTTACTCGAGGCTACGAGCAATTCGGTTTTCAAATCTCGGACAAAGGAATCACCTACAAGGAATGGGCGCCCCACGCAACTGAGGCTTACCTCTTTGGCGACTTCAGTATCATGTCGTGTCTTTTTGCATTTTGTTTGCTTGCATGTGCTGATGCTTTATTTTGATGGATTCGTTGTTGTAACACTGGGAATGCATGCCAATTACTGTCGACCATGCTTCTTTCAAAGGCCCGCGGTCGCACTCTATGTCAATCCTTGACTGCCGTCTCCATGTATCGTTGTCGTTCTCTCTATCTCCTGCTGTTTCTAGACCAGTGGAACCCTTCGAGTCATCCCATGAAGAAGGATGAGTTTGGAGTCTTTGAGATCTTTCTACCCAACAACATCGACGGATCTCTCGCTATCGCTCACAATTCAAAAGTCAAGGTATTAATTTCGATAGGAGCAGTGTATAGATCTTTGGTTGGAATCGACAGCCTTCGCTAATCGTCGTTTTGGGTCACTTTGAACATCTTTCTCGACATCCATTGTGCTCCTAAGATCACGATGATCAAACCCGATGGGACCCGGATTGATCGCCTGCCCGCATGGATCCATCGTGTCACTCAAGATCTAAGCGTTTCGCCCCACTACGATGCAGTTTTCTGGAATCCATCGCAGAAATATCAGTGGAAAAACAAGTCTCCTCCTAGGCCCAAGAGCATCAAGGTGTACGAAGCCCATGGTACGGTTGTTGAACTTGAGAGCGTTGAGGGAAGTGGCACGGGGAGGGAATGACGATAGACTTGATCCCATTGGAGGAATGGCGACTCAATATTTTGCTCGCTTTTTCTCCCAATAGTGGGCATTGCTACGACGGAGGGTCGCGTTGGTCAGTTTACAGAGTTTACAGCGAACGTTCTACCACGGATCAAGAAGCTGGGGTACAACACAATCCAGCTCATGGCCATCATGGAGCATGCATATTACGCGTCGTTCGGATATCAAGTCACCAGCTTCTTCGCTATCAGCAGTCGTTATGGTACGTATGGCGCTATTTGGCAGGCGACCCAGGGAGGGCGAGATCTTAGATTGGGTTTACGATCGCAGCGATACAGCTGTATGAATGACACGATATTGGTTTAAACCGCAGCGCTGGCATTGAAAATCAACTCCCTATCTGTTACTCTACCCCTGCTCTCTTTCCCGGCCTTAGGCACACCCGAGGAACTTATGGAGCTCATTGACACCGCACACGGCCTCGGTATAACCGTTCTTTTGGATGTGGTCCACTCTCACGCGTGCAAAAACATCCTCGATGGACTGAACAACTTTGATGGAAGTGATAATCAATACTTCCACGAAGGCACAAAGGGACGACACGAGCTGTGGGATTCCAGGCTTTTCAACTACGGTAGCTACGAGACTATGCGATTTCTCCTAAGTAATCTGAGATTTTACATGGAATGGTATGGCTTTGATGGGTTTAGGTTCGATGGAGTGACCAGCATGATGTACGTCCATCATGGAATTGGATTCGGGTTTTCAGGCAACTATCACGAGTACTTTGGCGAAGGGGTGGACGCAGAAGCCGTGGTCTACTTGATGATTGCGAATGACATGCTCCATCAGCTGTATCCCGAATGTATTACAATTGCGGAAGGTAAGTTTGGCCATATCGAGTCCTTATCACGGCGGTTTAAAGAGCAAGAAAAAGGAGCTGATCACCTATCTGACCTCTCGTCTCTGCCACGCTCAAAGATGTTTCTGGAATGCCAACGCTCTGTAGACCCGTCTCGGAAGGTGGTATCGGGTTTGACTACCGACTGTCGATGGCAATTCCAGACATGTGGATCAAGCTACTTAAGGAGAAGGCAGACGATCAATGGGATATGGCCAATATTGTGTTCACGCTTACCAACAGGCGATACAAGGAGCGTTCAATTGCTTACTGCGAGTCCCACGATCAGGCTTTGGTTGGTGATAAGACTATTGCATTCTGGTTAATGGACAAGGAGATGTACACACATATGAGTGTGTTTACGGAACTGACGCCCATCATCGACCGCGGATTGTCCTTGCACAAAATGATCAGGTATAAGCTCTCGCCACCATAGAGCGCAAGTGATGAACTAATATTTTTAGTTATAATCGCAGTATTCTGACACGATTTCCTTGCTCCTGCTTTGATCTTAAAACGATAGATTGGTCACCCACGCGCTTGGAGGAGAGGGATATTTGAATTTCATCGGCAATGAGTTTGGTCATCCAGAATGGCTTGACTTCCCCCGCGCTGGAAATAACTCGTCGTTTCACTATGCTCGCCGCCAATGGAATGTTGTGGATGACCACTTGCTCCGATATCAGTTCCTCAACGACTTTGATGGCGCTATGAACAATGCCGAGACGCAAGTAGGATGGCTCAGCGCAAGCCAGGTACTACAACAATGGTATTGACGAATCCCCCCTCCCCCCGAACTTTGCCTTAACTCTACCATCCTTACATACTTGTGTTATAGGGCTATGTATCATGGAAACACGAGGGTGACAAAGTTCTGGCATTTGACCGCGCAGGAGCAGTTTTCATTTTCAACTTTCACTCCACAAAATCCTTCACTGACTATCGCATCGCTGTTCCAGAGGGAGGAAAGTACAAAATCCTGCTCAACTCAGACGAAGAACGCTTCGGAGGTCATAAGCGTGTTAGCAGCGACAGTGTCTATTTCTCCACACCCGAGTCCTGGGCAGGCCATAGTCAGTACATCCAGGTTTACATCCCCTGCCGCACCGCCTTGGTACTGGTCAAGGAAGACTAAACCACCACCATCATCACTGAGCTTTTTTTTTGATAACTAGGACCTACGGGGCCATCACATCACCGAGCCAGCATCAATAAAAGCCCTGCTATCACAGTCACATGCGTTACACATGCGTGGAAGATGCTTCCTGACAATTTGGGTCGTCGTACAAAATATGCATAAAATTTCAGGTTCACATCTGCTTCTGTGGCGCAATTGGTTAGCGCGTCTGACTGTTAATCAGGAGGTTGGTGGTTCAAGCCCACCCAGGAGCGACGTCTCATTTTTTGTTTTGACTAAGTATTTTTTTTTTCTAGCTTGCCAGCCCAACCCTGATAGCCAGGTGGGACGCCCAGAAAGCATTCGAATGAGTCCTTCCCAATTCTCTTTTCTTCTTTATTTACAGACCGGTTGACCTCTAAATTAATTCTTTTTATTACGACTCGTCTCACTTGTCACTTAAGCTGCAGTGGAGGCTCGTATCGAAGATAGAGCTCGCCTTTGAAATGATCGTGTCTGGCCAGTGAATCAATATTTGACATGTTAGCTCAAGTTCTTGATGACCTACAACGACTTGTTTGGACAACTATGAATTACCTTATTCCTCGCGGTGGACGCGCAAGTTCAAAGTGATGGATAGCTTCTGCGACAGTGTAACGCTGTTCCTGGATCAAAAACGAGCAGACCAGAAACCCAGTGCGGTTGAACCTAAATGTGTTCAAGAAATGATAACTGTTATCAGTGCATCTATCCGCCTTTATCAAAAAAAAAAAAAAAAAAAAAAAAAACGACTCCCGGATAGCTTTCTTACCCATAGTGGCAGTGGACAGCAATATCAACGCCTGGCTTCTCTGCCCAACATGCTTTACAGTGCGTGATAAAGCGATCAACATCTTCTTTCGAAGGTGGGATTTTGCTCACAGTTGGAAGTTTGGTGTATGTAATCGACGTCGCCTCGAAATCTGAGGTACGGTACGGCGGCTCGTCCTTAGAGATATCCACAATGAAGCCCACCTAAGAAGGACGTTAAGAGTTAGAAGAAAAAAAGTGGGGTTTTAGAGGGGATTGAAGCAAAATCTTCGGCTGGATGCGCATTCCTTACGACGCGCTAGTTGACTGTACCTCGGGATGCCTTGCCAAAAATGCTGATGGCGAGTGGTCGGGATCTGTCTGGCGCAAAACTTTCATTGCTCTGAACCTTCCATTTCCCCTACCGATAGGTTTGGAGATAATCGGCGTGTTCAACCACTAGGTTGATAACATAAAAAAAAGTGTAGGTTGAGCACAGCATATGGATGCATCCAATTGTGACATTAAGCAATAACTTGGTGGGGATCAAAACCTTTTCAGTATTCTTCAGACTCCACTTGTTCTCCTTTTGACACTTCCTAGTGATCTGCCAGGCTGGATCCATGTTGGTAATGCCGCAATCTTTGATCAAAAATGTGCTGATAATTGGTGTAACCAGCTCCCAGTTCTCCAGCATAGTCTGATGTCCAGCTTTGGGTATGATGAACGGTGGTTTGATCCGCACGTTGGTCTCCCTACACCAGTTGAAGATTTGTTCCACATTCACTGAAGGGCACACGCGATCCTACAAAAAAAAAAAAAAGGATGCCATTTTCAACCACTCCTGCACGCTGAATTGGACACCTCAATAACCTCTCCACAGCGGAACCAAATCGGACAAGTTGTCTTACATCCTCTCCAGCCATCAGTAACAAGGGACATTGGATCCTGCGAAAGTCATCTGGGCTTGGCCATCGTACGCCCAATACAAGTCGCCTCAGCACAAATGTCCTGGAGGCTTTGTTCCACTGAAGCTGCTTCCTTCGTAGATCTTCGCCGGCGGTCGCGTGCAGCAATCTATCAACACTCTTGGAATGGGTTCCCCCCAGTCTATCCAGCTTTCGTGCCATGTCCACTACCCAATCCGGTGTCCTGCGCAGTTGTTCACGAGCCTTCAACTCGTGTTCTGTGATAATGGCCTTGGGCCCGATCATCACCACAGCCTTGATAGAATTATGAAGAGACTCTGTGTTTTCGAGGTGCGAATAAAGATGTGTTCCAATAGTGCATCCGTATGAATGGCAAATGAGCACAGTATCTTCACTCTTGTACCGCTGCAGCAGGGTCACAATATCCTCCACATAGGCATCTGTTGTGTAATGTTCAAAGCTACATCGATTTCGTCTTAGACTGGGGCCATAAATTTCACGTTGAAAAAAAAAAAAAAAAAAAAAAAAACCACCACTTTACCCTACAGGGACATCGCTTGCACCATATCCACACATGTCAATGGCCAGGATATGGGTGCTATGACTGAAATACTCAATCTGCTTTTCAAACTGCTCTAGCTGTTTAGAACGAGAATGAGAGTCCTTGTTAACATGCAAATGTTATGGTGTAACCAAAAGTCATTCCACTTTACTCTTTAATGTTGAAAGTCATTACCTGCCCGCCCACACCATGAATAAAAACGAGTAGTGGCACTTTGGACCCGAGCTCGTGAGGTATATGAACAATCCGTAACTGCTTGCCATTGACTTTGACGAATTGAGAATGGTTCACAAGGACTGGGCTGGTTGACGAAAGCTCTGTAGCCCTCTGTTTCTGCCGTCGGCGGGCGTCCAGCAGCCGCAAGACTCTGTAGCCGAGAAAGAGGGCGAGTGCGGCGGATAGAACAACTGTTGGTGCTGTTGACTGTCGATTCCATCGCGTAAGGGTGAGGGAAGCGGATGTCATGACCATGTTGTCCAATGCAAGAATTAGTTGTCAGTGAAAGGGCTGGGAGGAAGACTCAAGACCGGCTCCAGGACAATGGTTATGATAATTCCTCCACTGGCCAAAGCTCCGAGTGGAATTAGTGCGCACTCGGAGAGGATATAATGAGCTCAAACTGTCAAACTGCTCGCAGAACGGGGAGATAAAGTACTACTACCAGGGCTACGGCGTAGTATTTAGATGAAAGGCACAATAACTATCTATCCATGCCAGGGCTATCTTGCCCCACAGGCCGCGCATCGCAATCAGACCCAATCTCTGACACAGTGGCAGGTATATCCAGTCTCTAGATCATCTTCCTAGCCTCAAAGAAACCACGCAGATGGCGCATTTGCCATGCGCAAGTGATTGCGAGGATAATGAGTTGCACGATTGTCCAGGTAATCGTACGACCGTTGGTCACTTCACTCACATCGCGAAAGTCCTGCTCATGAAGCTACAAAGCGTAGGCGACGTCATTCCATGGATGTATTAATCACCCATACAAAGCAAAAACAACATCTGTGCATCAGATCCGCAACGCTTCAGCACTTACACGAAGGTACGACTGTTCGCGACTAATGTCATTGACCTTTTGGTTCAGCTCACGAACACGCTGGGCAATATCTAGTAATCAGTAGAAAGAGCCTCGTTAGATTCGGCTCAGCGCTGTCAAGATACAATTCCTCTCCTGACTGTAACCATTACCACTCAAAGTTTCATCCGAAGTCTCGGTCCCATCCAAAATATCACTGATAGCCATATCAAAGGTAACCCTCTATAGTAGAAGGAATACAAACGAAAGAGAGCAATAACCTGTCAACTAATGCAAGCCATAACGCGCACCCTTCAACTGCAGCAATTGCAGCTAGCTGAACCAAACATACGATCTTTGTAGAGCTGAACCATCCAGAAGTAGACGCGAAAAGACAAATTCCATGCTCTCCTGATTCCGCCGAAGTAAACGAGAACTTGCCCTTAGGGCTCAGCCTCTGGCTAAACACTCTGTTGCCTGATGGCAGTTCCTAAAAAAAAAAAAAAAAAAAAAACTAGAATCTTGTCGATCTTACTTTGGCGCGCGAACTGCAAACAAACCTCTTGGCCCTCAACTTACATCAACCAAAACCTCGATCACGATGTCCTTGTTCAGTAGGAACTTCTGCGCATCGTCACTCCACTCCTCAGCAGTGTAGTGCGCTATATAGAGACAGGTAAAGTTAGAACGACTAGATTTTAAAAGTGAAATGTTGAGTCCCCCAACAACTGTCGGTTCATCTGACTTTTCGCATTGTGTCTCGACATTCCTGACACTGCGCGTTTAGAGATGATTCGGTTTATGCAAGTCCCTTACCTGTAACCATGGTCTCCTTTGGTAGCTCCTCCGTAAAGCATTTTTGCTCAGATCCCTCGAGGTAGAAGTAAAGTCCAAACACTGAGGGCAAGATGCTGAGCAGCATCAGCAGCCCCAAGCTCCACCGCGCGATGTTGATGGCCATTTTTGTAACAAAAATATGTGGAATCTACCGTGATTGCAAGATTATGTGTGCGTGTGTGGAGGAGAGATGGAGAACGTCGGCAGGATGATGAAGCAGAGAGAGAGAGACGACGTCCACGTGATGCAGCTAGGTTCGTGTGGGCATGCGTGCCCATATTTCATTCTTTCCCTACTTCTTCATACTTCTATCGCCGATCTTAATAGGCTGCCACTTGACACTCGCGCAACTGAGTTGACTATATGATGAACGGCGAGGAGAGTAGGTGTGGACGGACTTGCGTCGATTTTTGGTCTTCCTACTAAACTGATTGTGGATACTATGCCCGTCAAACATTGGGATTCCCCTTCCCTCCCACAAAGTGCTGCAATGCTCCATACATTGTCAGCTTTCTGCTTTCTTCGTCACAGTTTGTTGATTAATGGATGTCGGTTAACCTGCCTGCTTGCCTGTTATACGCGTAACGTTGACGGATCTGGCTGTTCGTCTCCGATATGTTTTTCTCCCCTTTCTTTCTATACAAATTTCTCGCGTTCCTTCTCACCTTCGTTTTCTTGCACCTCTAGCCATTGTTAGAGAATGGTGACGGGTCCCCTATATAGCACCGATGTCTTGTCAACACGAACACGCTCAACAGCGGTTATCCGCTTCGAGTCGATTGCAAGGTGCCACCTTCAAGACCATTCTGTAAGTCTTTGGGAATCACTCGACTGATACCGCGCACTCCATTGACATCAGTTAGTTTGCACTTACGTGCTGCTTCTGATTGACGAAACAGTAAAAACGATCCTGCTCAACACGGCCTGGTCTATAACTGGTATGGAAAGCTCGCTTCTTTCGTTGCGTGGTGTCTATGCCTGGGCTGCAAAAGGTGTCCGATCTACTGAATATGTCGCAATAGCGGACAGTTTGCTCCGCATAATCGAATTGTCCAAAGAAAAACAAAGGTCAGTTCTGCTCATAATCTGGCCTTCAGTCGCTGCACGACTCATCCCAGAGTAGTTTTTAGCTGAACGCGC